CCACAATCAGAATAAAATGATCGGATTAAGTGTTTACATGCACGTCGTTCGGATTATCAATCAGCATAAACCACCTCTCTCGTTCTGGTTACAAATTCATTCGGATCGAGCTGAATCGGATCAGAATGATCTGAATGGGGTGTTTACATGATGTATTTATATTCCGAATGGCCGTTTAATATGATTACTTATCGCCATGTAAACATAGCTACTGATTATAATAGGTGTGTATTTGCTGCGGTGGTCGGACTGGACCGAACTGGAGCGGAACCACAGCTAGTGTAAAGTGGGGGTTAGATGTGTCTTAWTACATAAAACCAGACATACGTACTTATTGAGACCTGGACACTACTAAAAATCCAAACTTTACAAAATAGGAACCCTGGCTGCACGGGTCTTACCTCTGAATCTGTGGGGGTGTAGGTCTGCTGTAACTGGCTCAGAGTGGAGGGTTTGACTGTGGGGAAGGTCCACGGGGAACATTGGTCTACATCATTATCAACATCTCTGAAAGGACAGACAAAAGAGGAGGAGTTTGAAAAGAAAAGGAAACGAATGGAGATGACCTCAGAATAATCATCTGAAAGCATTGTTTGGTCGGCGTGCAAATATGAATCCATTCAGTCTTATTCATAAGAAATCTGGAGTGAATAAACATGAGACGAACATATCTGAATCGTCCGAGCTAGATTCCTCCCCGTGCCCCTCAGATTTCCAGCGGCGGTAGCGGTCTATCAGCTCCGTCAGGTAGGCTGTCTTCTTGGTGTAGCGTGTGATGAACTTGTGCTTCAGGAGCTCTTTGGCGGTCGGCCTCTGCAGGGCAGCAGGAACACGAACACTCATGAACAAACCAAACTGGAAGCAGCTTGTGCTCAGGATCCAACTACTGTGTGGTGATTGAGTTTTAATAATTTATTCTATTTTCAATCTACAGTGTAAAGCTTGAGGAAAACAAGTCTTGGATCATTTGACAGAATACAGAACAAATAGTGCCTGTCAAGGAACGTTAGTTAATGATTGGCTCATTTTCTTCTGTCTTCACACAAATCATCAGCTCCAGCCTACTGCTGTGTTTTTCTTGTGTGTTGTACTCACAAAACGTGGGTCTTTGTTTAGACAGGCTTCCACAAACTCTTTAAAGGGTTTGCTATAGGGACCTTCCAATGTGGGTGGAGGGTTTTTGGGGATGAGGAACAGAACCCTCATGGGGTGTAGGTCAGAGTTGGGCGGTTCCCCTTTGGCCAGCTCGATGGCAGTTATACCCAGAGACCAGATATCAGCCTGAATGGAAGACAAAACATCCATGTTAAACACAACCTTATGCAATGTTCCCACCAGAAACAAACAGTGGGTTGTGAAAGCATTCATCCTCTGAAAAAGCCTGCAGTTATCACTGCATTAAAATAAGGAATGTTGAGCAACTTGTCAAGTTGTTCTTCAGTATTGCTTAAAATAAATAGTTAATCTTTTAGCACATTAGCATCAAATTATCAGTAGCAGGACTTGGAAATTGTGAAAATGACTATAATAAACTGAAGCCGTATTGTAATTAATGGATGCATTGACAGAATCAGTCATCACGTAGTTAATTTGGATGAAAGCATATTAATCTAACAGTGATCCAGGTCATCACTAGGCATGGGACGGTATGAAATTATGACGGTATGATAACCTTGGGCCAAAATATCACGGTTTTGCTGTATGACGTTATTATGATTACAGCTCTAAAAATTTAGTTTTGAAATTTGTATTTAAAAACCAAACAAAATAACTTTTCTATGATTCATATTCAACTTTAATTATCTTTGGAAGCTGTTTTCAGATCTCAGAGGTGTTAAGCTGAAATTTTATTTACCTGTGTGCATATGTACTTTATTGATTTTTAGCATCTAATGCAATTAGACTATCCTGACAAAGTTTACATCTAGTAAAATAACTGCTTTTCCACTGCTTTATTATTAAAGACAAATCAGTGTATACTGCAAGAAAAGTCTTTTTATTGAAGTAATGTATCACGTTGGAGGTTTTTATTGTGTTTTAAATTTCAAAAGGGTTTTTGAGTAAAGATTATATAATTATATGCACACAGAAACAAGAAATATCAACTATGAATGTGTGTTTATGAAACGCATATTCAGCTAACGAGCTGCTCGGCTAAATGAGGCATTCAGTTTTATAGGCTTTCACTTAAGACTTATCCAAATACATATTCCAACAATTCAAACAGTTTTGCAGTACCAGCTGTGATCAGTGCATTAAACCACAGCAACATGGTGAGATGTTTCACAACCTGATGCTAAAGTTAGCTCGTTCCACGGTCCACATTGCCGTCGTCTTTATGGCATCCTAAGTATTTTCATATAGCTGGATTTATTATTTTAGACAGGGAAAAAGTTTGGGGAACTCTGTCTTTCAGCGAGTGCCAACAGGCAGCTCTGCGGGAGTGCGTGGGGGGAAGTCTGCAGCGGAACAGACCTGGGGGGTGGGGGAACACTTGTAGACACGGTATGACAAAAGACAAAAGATTTTAGTGGTTTTCAAACCGTGACTTTTTCATATCACAGTATACCTTGAAACCGGTATTCGGCCCATGCCTAGTCATCACAGACTACTTTATAAACACAAACACATGGCTACAGAAGGTGTGAGGAAAATGAGGAAATGAGGAATAGAAAATGGACACATCATGTAAGATTATGACTTTTTTCTTGTAATATTATGACTTAAATCTCGTAATAATAATAAAAAATCTCTCTAATACTCGGTCGTACTGGCCCGTGTGGACAGTTCCCCAATTCTTTTGCAACCCACTGTACAACCCACTGTACATTCATGAGCCCAGTGTTATACAAGTGTGAGTAAAAGTGAGTTGAACCAATAAATAAACCGAATGCTGATTCAAAGCCATTTATTTATCTGTTGTCCACATGCTCTCACCTTGAAGTCATAGGCCGACTGTTTAATAACCTCTGGAGCCATCCAGAAAGGAGTGCCAACAAATGTATTTCTCTTGATCTGTGTATCAGTCAGCTGTCCTGCCACCCCGAAGTCTGCAAGTTTCACATCACCTTGCTCTGACAAGAGCACATTGGCAGCTAGAAAAACAAAGAGTCAAACATCAATTAGATGGGTTAACCTCTGCCTTCCGTTATGGTGGTTTTAAATAACATAGTCACCAACAAACATGTAGCATGTAACGTAAGGTTGAACAGGTGTTTATTCAACCATCTGAAACCATCAACATAAATAAAGATGTTCAAAGAGACTCTAAAAACTTCCACTGTCCAAAATTGGAGCTGAAAATACACTGCCTGGCCAAAAATATGTCACCACCTGGATTTGACTAAGCAAATACAGGGTTAGACAATGAAAGTGAAACACCTGGCTTTAGACCATAACATCCCTTTCAGACAGCTTCCTCTTGCGTCCACAGTTAATCCTGTTGGATGTAGTTGGTCCTTCTTGGTGGTATGCTGACATTACCCTGGATACTGTGGCTCTTGATACATCACAAAGACTTGCTGTCTTGGTCACAAATGCACCAGCAAGATGTGCACCAACTATTTGTCCTCTTTTGAACTCTGGTATGTCACCCATAATGTTGTTTGTGGTATGTCACACCAGTGTTGTTGTAATCTCTGCTCTAACCCAGCTGTTTATCCATCACAGCCATCACTCGTCACTAAACTCCTCTCCTTGGCTCAGGATGTTCATTTGCTGCCCAATAAATCCACACAACTGTGAGGAGCTGCTGTAACCAGATAATCCCAGTCTCTCACTTCATCTGAAAGAACCATCATTAAAGAGTCACACCCTGTGAACGAGAGGAGGGTGGAGTGGGGTTGAATGGTCAACTACAATCCCTAAAACTGGCTACTATTAGCACACGGAAAGACCCAGCTGAAAGACGAGCTGTGGAGTTGGATCTGTTGTGTTTTGACTGCAAGCAGGTCAAACACATGAGAAACCAGGAAATACAGCCAACTTGTTAAAATGGTGTTTGCTTTAAAAGGTACTCAATGCTAACTTTGAAATTAAACATAAAAACAGTTATTCAGAACTAAATCTGACTGCAGTCTGTGTAGGTGAACAAATACAGCAGCAATGAACAAGTACAGAATTTCAGGTAGAAATTTAAGTGAATCTGATGCTAAATACCAAAGAAAAGAGAAAGATCAATTAGGAAAACCATCTAAAACAACTATTGTGACAGAGCTCAGTTTTTAAACACATACAGCTTTTGTGAAACTTCTGTATCAGCAGATGTCTATTTTAATCTGCATACTTCACTCAACAAATCTGATTATAAATACAAACCAACACATGAAAATTATTACACTTCTGTATCCCAAACGGCTCTTTCATGGACATTACCATTGTTGACCTATTTTCAGTCACTTCGGCTGTTTCCGTAGGGAAACAAACGCATGTACTGTAGGAGATATGTTCCCAAATTTAGCTGAAAGTTTTCTACTTGAAAAGACACGCAAACTTTACACACTAACATGATTTTTTACCAATCCTTCTGACATGCAGTGACCATCTTGAAAACTTGACAATTTCTGTAGAATTTTCTTAGGGGCACCTTCCCAACATTCTAACAAACATAAACTTTTTTCTATGAACAGTAATTTGGGACTTCCCTGTGTAAGTGTTACCCTGCTCCAACACGCCTGATTCAATGGTTAAATTGGATCTTCAGTAGGTCTTTATACTCTACAGAAGCCTGTTAATCACTCATTTATTCAAATCAGGTGTGTTGGAGCAGAGAAGCAGCTCCAGTGTTTCTGTCCAGCAGCACGTGGATCCAGCATGCTGAGCCCACGTGATCACAACAACATGCTGCGCTAACAAGTTAGCAAGAATGTCGGCAGTACTTTCCATTTTCATTAAAAACAGAGTTGAAGCTAAGTGCAAAGTTGTCACGCACAAGTTTTCCGTGTGGGCACAGAACCGTGTACGTTTTAAACCYGAGCGACAACTACTCTCCACCCTGGCAGCAGCTTTGCAGTTCGGCCTCGGTTCAAAGGTGGTTCCTTTGGACCTCCTCTCACTCCGGTGGTTCTAGCGGGCAGAAGCGAGGACAGCACGCTTACGGTTTTAACATCAGCAGAATGCTGCCAGTGGGTTAGCTCTTGATGGACAGAAGAAAGGAGAGCGCAGCTTTTGTTTTGGAATATGAGCGCGACATGACGAGAGCAGTGATAAAAACTGCAGGAGAGAGAGGCTAATCTCCACATGATCCTCGGACTGTAGAAGGTATCAATAATTAACTGACTAATTCGTATTWTTTTTTTTTGCTCTTGTTATTAGAGTGTTGTTTAATGTGTTAACACACTTGTTTTGGTGAAGATTAAGTGCAATGGTCACGTTGTTTTGGGCACAGTCTGTAAAATTAGTTGTGGACTCTACTTTGAACAGACAATAATGTGCGGTTTTGTTTTGTCCCCACCTGCAGTTTTTCCCATCATAAAGCAGCACAAGGCTGACAAGATGGTAAAAAAATAATAATAAATGTAGTGATTTTGAATTGCTATTTTACGCTTTAAAAGTACATTTTATTTTTATTATGTTTTATTTTCAGGGTATTGTAATTTATTTTATTTATTAAATTGTAGAATGTTCAGTTTAAAATGTATGTGATCCATTGGTTAAAAATAAATGGGTCAATATTTTTCATACCTATTCTTTTTCACTGTTTGACTTGATCAAGACTTTTCTAAGATTTTACACTACAAAACAGGTAAAAGTGTGTGATTCGTACTGGGTCAATATCGCTATTGGCCAATATCGGTATCGGCTAATTCTCAAAGTTGCAATATCGGTATCGTATCGGAAGTGAAAAAGTTGTATCGGGACACCCCTATTAAACTGTACTTTCATATTTGTCCTTTAATGTAGAAAATACTCCTCATCATAGCCTTGATAATTCTTAAATGTAATAACATGTAAATATTTATATATTTAACACCTACAGAAGATTAATAAGTCACTGTGAAAAAAGCATCCAGCTTGTTTTCATATTCAAATGTGGGAGTTTATTCAGCCAAGCATGTGGTTAAGTCTGAGTGTGTGCAATATTTAGTTCTCACACATCACTCTGCAACATTCAGTCTACTGATCAGGTCTACTCCTTTATTTATTACCTTTGATATCTCTGTGAATCTTCCTCTCAGAGTGCAGATACTCCAGCCCTTTCAGGATTTCTCTCAGGATTGTAGCAATGTACGTTTCTTCAAGAGGTCCTGGACGGAGCTAAGATAATAAAAATGTGAAAATAAATGTTTAAAAATTCATACTTAGCAGTGTTAAAAGTATGAAAATTAGACATTATAAAGATTTGTCGAAAGCTTTTTAACATTTCTAAAATTAAGAAAATCTTCTTACCAGATCTAGAGCAGATCCTCCACCTAAATACTCCATAATAATCCACAGCTTGGTCCCCTGGCAAAACAAACACACATTTAGTGAAACACGTTTAAAATCTGTAATACAGTATATGAATTGATATGTATTGAGACAGAGTCTTTGTGTCACACATCCTGGTTCTTGAGAAGGCCAGAGTAATCAAACACAGATCGACAGATTTATGTTTCACATCAGTGAAAGAAAGAAATAATCAGTTATGCCAGACATATGATAACTATCATATATGTATGATAAATAATTTAAAAAATCCCATAATGTTTGATAATTTGACCATTTCAGTGCGTGACTAATTAAACCCAACCAGGAAGCAGAGCCTGGGAACCCTGGGTCGGACTCTCCAATCTCTGGCGCAAGGTCACTGAGGTGGTTAAAAAGCTCCTCTGTGGCAGGGCACCGGGGGTGGATGAGATTCGCCTGGAGTTCCTTAAGGCTCTGGATGTTGTGAGGTTGTGTTGGTTGACGCAACTCTACAATATCGCGTGGATATCYGGGCTGTTCCCCTGGATTGGCAGACCCGGGTGGTGGTCCCCCTATTTAAAAAGGGGGACCACATATTGTGTTCCAACTACAGGGGCATCACAATTCTAAGCCTCCCTGGTAAGGCCTATTCAGGGGTTCTGAAGAGGACGGCCTGTCAGATAGTCGAATCTTGGATTCAGGAAGAGCAGTGTGGTTTTAGTCCTGGTCATGGAAAAGCAGACCAGCTCTACACCCTCAGCAGGGTCCTGGAGGGTGCATGGGAGTTTGCCCAACCAGTCTACATGTGTTTTGTGGACTTGGAGAAGACGTTCGACCGTGTCCCTCAGGGACTCCTGTGGGGGGTACATTGGGAGTATAGGGTACCAGGCCTCTCCTTGGGCTGCTACCTTATCGTGGTGGAGGGGTTTGAGTGTCCCAATGATCCTAGGAGCTATGCTGTCTGGGGCTTTATGCCCCTGGTAGGGTCACCCATGGCAGACAGGTCCTAGGTGAATTACTCTATGAAACTCAGGACCAGCCTAACCTTCACAAAATAATCCCTCAAGAT